TCACCGCCGCTTCCTTCTTGCTGCTTCTGCTCGTTCTCTTATCGCCCAGGGCGCCGCCAGTGCGTGCACCCTTGAACCTCACATCAGCACTGAGAATGCGCCGCAGTTCGCGCTCCCCCCTGCGGGTGTTTGGGTGGTCTGGCCCAAGCGTGGCTGTGCGAACGTCGAGTGCCTGTTTGACATAGGCGCAGGCCTGCTCCCTTGTCGCCGCGCTTGTCGTGCAGCAGGCCAATGTTGGCAAAGCGTCATGGCTGTGCTCGGGTGCTTCTCCCCCAAACGTCTCCACCGTGATAGCGAGCGCCTTCTCGTAAAACGCAATCGCCTTGTCGTACTCGCCCTTGTCATCGTATGCGGCGCCGAGGTTGTTGTAGGTGTCGGCTGTGCTCGGGTGCTTCTCGCCCAGCGTCTCCACCGTGATGGCGAGGTCCTTCTCGTAAAACGCAATCGCCTTGTCGTACTCGCCCTTGCTGTAGTATGCGGTGCCGAGGTTGTTGTACGTGCTAGCTGTGCTCGGGTGCTTCTCACCCAACGTATCCACCTTGATGGCGAGCGCCTTCTCATAAAACGCAATCGCCTTGTCGTACTCGCCCTTGTTTTCGTATGCGGCGCCGAGGTTGTTGTAGGTGTCGGCTGTGCTCGGGTGCTTCTCGCCCAGCGTCTCCACCGTGATGGCGAGGTCCTTCTCGTAAAACGCAACCGCCTTGTCGTACTCGCCCTTGTTCTTGTATGCGTTGCCGAGGTTGTTGTACGTCTGTGCCGTGCTGGGGTGTTGCTCGCCCAGCGCCTCCACGAAGACGGCGAGCGCCTTCTCGAAGTGTTCAATCGCCTTGTCGTACTCGCCCTTGTTCCTGTAGGCGGCGCCGAGGTTGCCGTACGTCTCGGCTGTGCTCGGGTGTTTCTCGCCCAAGGCCTCCACCGTGATGGCGAGGTCCTTCTCGTAAAACGCAATCGCCTTGTCGTATTCTCCCTTGTCATCGTAGGCGCCGCCGAGGTTGTTGTACAACGCCGCCACGTTCTCGCCCTTCTCCCCTTCGGTGCGGAGGTAAATCGCCAGGGCTGCTTCGTAGAACGCAATGGCGCGATCGTGCTGGCCAAAGTCATCCAGCACCAGCCCAACACTGTGGCACAAGTGCGCGAAGGCGTCAGTGCTGTCCTCGCCTCGCGCTCGCATGGCTTCGACGGCACCCACCGCCTTTTGCAGGCACCACGCGCGCAGCTGATCCTTCACGGCCTGGTTGACTGCGCCAAAGCCGCCCGCCCACGACTCGATCGCCGTGAAGATCATGTGTTTGTCATGGGGGTTAAAGGCGTCGGCTCTTTGTGCCTGAACGCGCACCAGCGTGTCTGTGACGGCTTTATAGCTGTCGCGAATAGCATCTTCCAGCGCCTGTTCCTCGCTGTTGGGTAGTTGGATGGTGACCTCTGTGCCCTCGTTGCTGATGCCACAGAAGATCTCCCACAGGCACCACGCGCGTGTCAAGGGAACAGGGTCTCGCCACGGCATGAGCACCAGCAGCACATGGCCAATGTTGGCAATCGACTGCTTGAACGTCGTGCTCCACCTGGGTGTTGAGAAGAGGAAAGGGGGGGGGGATGAAGAGAACAGGAAGACAGGGAGGAAAGGGGAAGGAGTTGCAGTTCTTGTGAGGGAACAGTGTGCGCGTGTGTGTGTGTGTGTGGCTGGCAGTGGTTGTTGAAGAGCGCAAGTGTCACAGACACGCATACACACACACACACACACACGCACACACACAGACACCACACAGACACACACACACACACATGCGTACCATTCTTGTGTAATGGTGGCCGTGAAGTTGGCGTTTTTGGCTGTTGCATTAAGAGGGCAAACCAGAAAAACACCGGCTGGGCGGCTTCTTCCTTGTTTGCTCATCCGCCAAACTCCCGCAGACGTTAAGCACGTCTGCGAGCTTGTACCGCCATGTGTGTGACACTAAGACAGAGGGCTTGGTCACCTGGTCTAGCGAGTGTTGCGC